AGACCAGAAGTCCAGAATCGAGGCATCAGTGGGGATCTGCTCCCTCCAAAGGATCCAGAGGTGGGGGGGTCCTTCCTTGCCTCTTCCAGCTTCTGGGGGCTCCAGGCGTTCCTCGGCTTATGGCCACATCACCCCATGTAGATCTTCAGTTGCCCTCCGGCTCTGAGCTGCCACACCTGAGAAATAGGCTGAGTTTGTGGCTGTTCCTCAGCGTGTCCATCTTTACGATTGTTTTACGTGATCGTTTCTTCTTAAAAAGTCTCCCCTGGCTGAAGGAAGTGTGCGTTGGAAAGTAGAAGCGCGCAGAATTTTAAGTGGTGCTTCGTACATGATTCTGCTATAATGCTGGCTTTCTCCTTTTAGCTTGAGAATGATTTCATCTGATAAACATGTGGCTTCAAATTATGGCCTTATATAAACGAAGCAGCTACGCTACACTTTCTGGAGGCCCCCGTCCGCCTTATTTTCCAGTGAATTCTGAATTATTCGCCAGGCCGATAGGCAGAACCTTGCATTTTTGAGCACCGCCCCGGCCAGGCCTCGAGAACGGCTCATTCACGTTTGCCCCCTCACCCCCAGGGCGTAATTTTTGGTTGTGTCGTTCCCTCCCCGCAACCCCCACCGGCTTTGCCTGCCCCTCCCTTCTCCAAGAACATATAAGACAAAGGCCCTGAATTTTCAAAGGGCCGAAAGTATACAAGTGTGGTGTTTGCAAAAGCCTTTTACTTTCCCAGGGTTTTTTTCAGTAGGAATTTCTCTGACTGGGGTAAAACGCACCTAACCTAAGAATTAGCATTAGTAACATCAAGTGGATTCCCCCGCCTTGATCTAGTTGTGGAACGGCTCCCTCTCCCCAAAGGGAAATGTCGTTCCCCGTGAGCAGGCACTCCCCCCCACCCCCCAGCCCCCGGCAACCACTAATCTGCTTTCTGCCTCTCTGCATTTGCCTGTTCTGGATGTTTCACGTAAATGGAGTCTTACACTGTGTGGCCTTCTGCGTTTGGCTTCTCTCACTCAGCACGGTGTTCTCAAGGTCCACCCACGGCCAAGCTCGTGTCAGGGCTTCGTTCCTTTTTATGGCTGAGTAATGTTCCACTGTATGGATAGATCCCATTTGATTTAGCCACTCATCCTCAGATGGGGCATTTTGTTTCCGCCTCTTGGCTCTTTCCCTGGGCAGCTTTATAGTCTGCCAGCTTGGTCTCCATTTGGCGATGAGGACACGGTTCACCCATGCAGGTCTGGGTAGACAGGTCCCGTTGGTCGGGAGATGGGTTTTGCATCCCCTTCACACGCTGTGAGTGCTTCGGTGAACGTCAGTTGGAGGGTGGAACAGCATTATGGTTCAGAGTAAGGATGAGGATGCAGGTTTTCAGGACCCGCTGCCCCCAGCACGGCTGCAGCCTGCAGTCGCCACTTGGCCGAGCTGTCCCCCTGCCACCCCCATCCAGGGACCTGCCGCCCCCAGTTCCTCAGCCCCGGACCTACTTCCTTTCATTCTGGGCACAGTCTGGGGCTTCTTGGGGCACAGGTTTCACATCCACTTGTGACCAGGACCTTGAAGCCACAGCGTGACTAACTTCCAGATCTTGGGCTCTGTTAAGACTCAGTGAGGAAGGCGGTACTTGGAAGCCAGAGAAAACAGCCTAGCCCCTCCAAGAGAGAGGTCATTGTTTAAGAATGTTCCCTGAAGCTGTGATAATCAAAACAGCATGGCACCACACTGGCATCAACAGCCCAGAAGGCGACCCACTCGTGTAAGATAACTTCATATACTGTATTTAAGAAACTGGGGAGACGCCCCGATCAGGGGAGGGGATTCTTTAATGAAAGAGATCACCTGGATCCCCATTTCACCTCCCACGCCATACTGGGTTGACTCATGTCTCCCCCAAATTCATGTCCACCTGGAACCTCAGATTGTGACCTTGATGGGAAATAAGGTCTTTGCGGATATGATAAGTGACAGGTCTCAAGATGAACTCATCCTGAATCCAGTAACTGGTGTCTCTATAAGAAGAGAAGGCACAGGGGCACCTGGGTGGCTCAGTCGGTTAAGTGTCTTCCTTGGGCTCAAGTCATGATCCCAGGGTCCTGGGATTGAGGGTCCTGGGATCGAGTCCCGCATCGGGCTCCCTGTTCAGCAGGGAGTCTGCTTTTCCCTCGCCCTCAACCCCTCCCCCTGCTTGTGTGCCTTCTCACTTTCTCTCTTTCAAATAAATAAATAAATTCTTAAAAAAAAAAAAAAGACACCATGTGATGATGGATGAAGAGGTCAGAGGGATGCATTTATAAGCCAAGGAGCGCCAAGGGTTGCCAGCAGCCGCCAGAAGCTGGGGGAAGCATGGGACGGATTCTCCCTCAGAGCCTCCAGAAGGAGCCAGCCCTGCCTGCCAGCACCTTGATTTTGGACTCATCCAGAAATGTGAGACAAGAAATTTCTGTTGTTTTAAGTCACCCAGTTTGTAGTACTTTATTACAGCGGCCCTAGGAAACTCCTCCACCACCAAAATAATTTCCAGATGGATAAGAGTGTACATGTAAAGAATAAATCCGGGGAAGGAGAGGGTTGTCAACCAAAAATATTAGTTCCGTGTTAATTAGACCTGGGAGAGGAATGGGCAGCAGACATGAAAGAAATCACCCACAGATCTGACTGCCTGGAAAATCCAGTATTTGTATCCAGAAATACCGTAAGTAAAAGCAAATCACCCTTGACCCTGACAAACCATTAATACCCTTCCTATACAAAGAGCTGTTCCAAAACAATAAGCAGGAAAAAATGAGCAAAGGACACAAACAACTTTTTTTTTTAATTAATTAATTTATTTATTAGAGAGCGAGCGAGAGAAACAGCATGAGAGGGGAGAGGGTCAGAGGGAGAAGCAGGCTCCCCGCTGAGCTGGGAGCCCAGTGTGGGACTCGATCCCAGGACTCCGGGATCATGACCTGAGCCGAAGGCAGTCGCTTAACCAACTGAGCCACCCAGGCACCCCAAGGACATGAACAACTTAACAGAAACAGAAAAATAGTTGCTCACTACATACAATTTTTTTAAAAGGCCCGCCTGACAGTCGAACGAATGTAAATGACAAGATGCTCTTTTGCGCCCACTGATGGCTGTGAGTTGAGAAAAATATTAACACTTGGTGCCAGCGAGGAAGCTGGGAGGCAGGCACTCTCATACCACTCCTGGCAGACCTCTCCCTTGGGTGGGTCTCTTGGGAAGTCACTTTGGCAGAATGGATGGGGGTGGGGGGTGCTTCTCAGTGAGAACGCAGAGGGAATCAAATCAGCCCAATGTTGTAGGGGAAATGATCCTGTAGCGGGAACTCTGTGCTTCTGCTGTCGGCGACAGTGCACCCTAAGATTTTGCATTGAGAGCAGAGTTGTCCTGGAGCTGGTGGAGGGGCTCGGAGGGCGTTCTGACCTGAGGAGACAAGAACAGTACCCAGGGGAGGCAGCAGGGTGGGGCAGGCCCCCCATCTGGGGTGCAGATGAGGGAAAGGGAGGGCAAGGTGCCTAGGAGTGGGGGGGTGGTGGCCAGCCCTCCAGGCCTGTGGTGAAGGCCTGGTGGGTATCTCATGGGGACACAGCCCAGTCAAGGAGAACTAGGCTTTCTACAGTGGGTCGGGGCTTTGGACAGCTTCTCCCTGATGGGCCTGGAGAAGCCTGCAAGGTCTGGTCTTTGAACCTGGGCCTGGTTGGGTAGGGAGGGCCTGGAGCGTTTCCAGTGAGTCAGTGTAGAGACCAAGAGGTAGCCATGCTTAATTGGGCCCGATGGCCAGGGGCTCTGAGGGCTGGCCACGGGGTGCCTTTGAGGGGCCCTGTGCCAGGACATGCACATCTAGACCAGTGTTCCCTGGGGTTCCCCTGCAGCAGCCCAGAGAATGGAGGCAGGAGGTTCTACCTAGGGGCCCTCCTGATTGGTGAGAAGAGAGGGCAGCTCTGGGGACACGGTGACAGCAGTCAGGATGTGGGCAGGGAGGATGTGGGAGGGGGAGCAGGGAACAAGCCTTCTGGGTGTTTTGGGCTGGGAGAAGTGGCCTGTGGTGGGCTGGAGGTGGAGCGCGGCCCCTGGGGACATGCAGCAGAGTGGATAGGTGTGTGTGGGGGGGTGTAGTCCCTGCACCGGAGCAGATCCAGGTGCATCCCCAGGGCTGCAGAGCAAGTGAGCAGAACCAGGAGAGGCCGGTGGCCGGCAGATGTGACTGGTAGGAGCGTGGTGGCATCTTTGGGGAGAGGCACAGTGGTTTTTATGAGGGGGGGAATGTTGGATTGAGGGACAGGTGGGAGTGGGAAGAGCTGGCTCCAAGTCATGTGGAAGGGAGGAGGAAACCAGGCTTTACCCTGAGCGGGAAAAGGGTTTATTAGCGTCTTTAGTTTTAAGGCACGTGAACTGTTTCAAGGGGAGGATCGTTCGTCCTTCCGTTCAGGAAGGGGGGGGAATGGAGAGTGTGGGCTCCCTGGGGAGAAGGGCTCCTACAGGGGACTCCAGACGCTCTCTGTCTTGCCCACCCCTACTCTTTGGCTATCCCCCTCCTCACAGCCCTCGTAGTCAGCAGCCACCCTGAGTAAGTCTTATCTCCTGCCTCCTGGCCGGGGGGTGGGGCATGCACCAGCCGGTCCTGTGACTGCCCGCATGGCCCCCAGTCTCTGAGCACGGGGTTGTCTCCTGCACCCCACGCCAAGGGGCCCAGAGCTGCAGACATCCCCTGTGGGGCTCCGAGGGGATCTGATGATTGACTGACCCTGGAGGGCGGGGTGGCACAGAATCTAGCTGGCCATGTTGAGTTTGACCAGGCCCCCGCCAGGGCAAGTGAGGGAGCTCTTTAGAGCAGGAACAAGATCACATTGGTGGGCTCTGATGGCTTCTCACTCAGGTCAGTCAGTGTCTGCTGGGAGGAGAAAGCAGGCACATCTGTGCGACCCTTCCACCACCTGCATTCCTGCACTTGGACATGAGACAGCCCAGAACCCTGAGTCTGTGAGCCGGATCTCGCCTCCAGAAGTTGTGGTGCACGTACGTCAGCCATGTCCCCACAAGTGCAGGTCACAGAAGGGGCCAGTTCTGCCTGAAGCCCCAGCTCTGTGCATGTGTGTGTGTGCGCGCGCGCGTGTGTTCACATTAAAGTGCTGTGCGTGCACGCATGTCCCTGTGTGTGCATGCATGCACGCGTGTGTTCACACGAAACTGCATGCATGTGCATCCCTGTTTGTGTCTGTGCTTTGGTGTGTGTGTGCACGAATGTGGGTGTATTCATGTAAAAGGGCGTACACGTCCACGTGTGTCCATGTCTGCACGTGTCGTGTGCTCATGAGCATGTGCGTGCCCTCGAGTGGCCGTGGTGAAGGTGCATATCTACAGTTCTGGCCCCTGCATTTCTCACCTGGCTTGGAAACAGCATAAACTGTCCAGCTTCCCCAGCTGTGCGGTGCTGCCCGTGAAGGTTCTGTGATCAGTTCTAGTTACGTCAGGGGACAGCCAGGCGGACAGCACCACCTGGCACCTCTGAACACCTGACAACGGGTTCCCAGCTCTCTCTGCTGCGGCATCCAAGGAACTCATTGACGGGGCTCAGGGGTTGGACATTTTGAAAAGACAGCAAGAAGTTTTAAAAGAGGCTCACCTGGGGGACTGGGGTTCTTTCATAAGCCACGTAATTTTTATTTTTTATTTTTTTAAAGATTTTATTTTTTTATTTGACAGAGAAAGAGATAGTACAAGCAGGGGGAGTGACAGGGAGAGGGAGAAGCAGACTTGCCGCTGAGCAGGGAGCCCGATGTGGGGCTCCATCCCAGGACCCTGGGATCATGACCTTAGTCAAAAGCAGATGCTTAACCAACTGAACCACCCAGGCGCCCCATCCACCTAATTTTTAAAAAGAGCTTTATTAACTGTAATTGATACACTTAAACTGCACTTCTTTAAAGTGTGCAATTTAGTGAGTCGTGACACATGTGAACACTCATGAACCCACCACCACAACCAATGTAGTAAACACAGTCATCACCCGACAAGTCTCCCTGGGCTCCTTTGTCATCCCAGCCTGCCCCTCCCTCAAGCAGCCACTGATCTACTTTGTCTCTATACTCTGCATTTTCTAGAATTCTACACACGTGGAACCATACACAACAGTGTATACTGTTCTTAAAACTTTATTGAGGTTGAGGCCGCCTGGCTGGCTCATTTGGAAAAACATACGACTCTTGATCTCGGGGTCGTGAGTTGGAATCCCATGTTGGACATAGAGATTACTTAAAAATAAATAAATAAACTTGAAAAAAAACTTGAGTGAGGTGAAATTCACACAGCACAGAATTCACCATTTTAAAGTGTTGGATTCAGTGGTGTTGAATGTTGGTGTCGTGCAGCCTCCATCTCTGTCAAGCTGCAGAACAATTTCATCCCCTACAAGGAACCCCTGTCTCCATTAGCAGTCACTTCCTACTCTCTCCATCTCCCTCCCCCAGCCCCTGGCAGCCACCGATCTGCTTTCTGTCTGTATGGATTTGCCTGTTCTGGACGTTTCGTTCAAATGGGATCCTACACTGTGTGGCCTTTTATGTCTGGCTGCTTTCGCTCAACGCAACATTTTTGAGGTCCATCCATACTGTAGTGTGTATCAGGGCTTCGTTCCTCTTTATGGCTGAGTAATACTCCATTGCATGTAGGAACCACAGTCTACATTCACTTATCAGCTGATAGACACTTGGGTTGTTTCCACCTTTTGGCTCTTGTGAATTGTGCTGCTGTGAACACGCATGTACAAGGATTTCTTTGAACACCTATTTTCAGTTCTTTTAGGTCTATACCTAGGAGCGGAATTGTTGGGTCTGTACGTTTTGTTTTGTTTTTGTTTGTCCTCTTTCTTTCACTCAGCACACAGATTCTGAGATTGTTCCATGCAGTTCCATGCTGTTGTGAGGATCAGAGGTTGGTCCCTTCTCCTGGCTGAGTAGTGTTCCATCGTGTGGCCGGTTTGTTCATCCATTCGCTGGTCAATACACATTTGAGTTGTTTCCGGTGCGGAGGTCTTAGAAACAATGCCACAAAGAACATTCGTGTACTATCCCTATAGGGACATGTTCATTTTTCTTGAGTAACTCCTAGGAAGGGAACTGCTGGGTCACATGCTAGTTGTATAACCAACTTCTGAAGAAATTGCCTAAGTTATATCCAAAGTGGATGAGCCATGTAATCTAATACAGCGTGTCTGCCATATCCTGTGGCTGTTTGAAGACATTTAGCAACGTTTTATCTGTTGATCTGCTAATCCCGCCTAAATGAATCAATCTCAAGGAAATGCTCAGAGGTGTGCATAAAGATGTGTGTCCAAGAACTCAGAAACCAGCTGCCCACTGGTAGCAGAAAGGATCACATGCCTCACGATTTGTGTGTACAGTGACTTGCCAGGAAGGCATTAAAAATCATGTTTCAGTTGTGTATTTTATGACATGGAGAAACATTCACTCGTACCAACATATCACATAAAGAACAATCCGAGTTTCGTTAACATGTATATAACAACTGTTAAACTGGAAGAAAACACACCAAAATTACTTAATTTAGGCGAAAGTTTAAAAAAATAAATATTCCCACCTCCCCCAACCTTCCTACCTGTTGCCGCTGCCTGCACCTGTCCACGGGAACTCTTACAACAGCTTCATTATGGGTAGTTTTGTTCAGCCTCCCGCGCCCCCACCCTCCTAACACCACTGCAGGACTTGGTTTCCCAGAATCCGAAGCATCTCAGCCTCTAGTGGCCCCTCACACTCCTGCTGCCGAGTCATGCTTCTGTTTAGGGTACAGGTCAAACTTTTTTTTTTTTCAGTGAACTTTTTCTGTAAAGGACTGGAAAATAAGTACGTTTGGCTTTCCAGGCCTTAAGGTTACAATCTGTCACAACTAGTCAGTTCTGCTGTTATAACAAAAGAAACCAGAGATGATACGTAAACAAATGGGCTACATTCCAATAAAACCTTATTTACAAAAACAAGGGGTGGGCCTTCCCTACCTTCCTCCCTCCTTTCCGCCTTCCTGTTGAACGAGCTCCTCTTCTTCCTTCAGAACCCCTCTTAGATGTTGCCACTCTCCTAAAGCCTTCTCTGGCTCTCGTTTGTGTGGTTGACACACTCTCACATTTGTTTGCATACCAGCTGCTCCTGCTGGGCTTTGAACCAAGGTCTGGTTCATCCTTGTATCCTCAGCTGCGCTTAGGTGGCCCACATAGGACCCACACTGCATTTGTGTCTCTGACTCCAAGACGCAAAATGAACTGTTGGCAGCATTAGCAGCATTTTCTCTTTTTCCTGCAGTGTCTTAAAAAGCAAATGCATTGGGCGCCTGGGTGGCTCAGCGGGTTAAGCGACTGCCTTCGGCTCGGGTCATGATCCTGGAGTCCCTGGATCGAGTCCCACATCGGGCTTCCTGCTCAGCAGGGAGTCTGCTTCTCTCTCTGACCCTCCCCCCTCTCATG